TGCTTTTAACTGTATGAGGAAGATACCAGGAAGGGGAATTAACTGGGTCAAGTGGGACCTTTAGTTTTAGTTTTTTGAGAAATCTCCATTTCTTTAGAAACAGGCAAGAGAATCTGTGGGGATGGGAAGGGCATGTGGGGGAGGAGAAAGGGAATGGTGGGGTGAAGCGGGGAGTATAAAATGATCCAGATGCAATATGAATATGTACTAATTCTCTAAAATGAAGGTAATTATCATGTGTCCAAAATGTATCAATAAAAACCTTTTAAACAGAGAAAGTAATCAAATAAACATGCAAAGTTGCTTAACACTTGTCCAATAGAGATAGGTATCAAAACCATAAGAGATAAAATTTCATATCTACTAGGGTGGCTATAATTTTTTTTTTTTATCAGTACCAGGGATCGAACTCACAACTGCCTGCTTGCAAGGCAGGCGCTTATGCTGTTGAGCTAAATCCCCTATAATTTTTTAAAATGGAAATTGTTGAATGTTGATGAGGATGTTGACTACCTGGATCCTCAATCCATGGCTGTGGAGAATACAAAATCACACGAGACACTTCAAGAATGTCTGGCAGTTTGTTTAGAATTAAAGAATCAAACATAGAACCCAATAATTTATGTATCAATTTCATCCAAGCAATGTGTCTGAGACAATTGGAAACACATGCTCAAATAAAACTTTGTACACAGATGTTAAGAACAGCATCATTTAAAAAAAGTCCAAAAGTAGCAACCATCCAATATTCATCAATGGATAAATGCATGCCACAAAATGTGGTACTCCAGACAATGGAATATTAATCAGTTATTAAAAAGAATGGAGCGCTGATACATGCAATAATAGGGGTGAAACATGAAAACATTTTGTTATGTGAAAAAAAATCCAAACACAAAATGCAACCTCATGTGTGATTTCTTTTACATGAAACGCAAAGAGGAAGTAGATTCCTTTTAGGGTGATAAAAATATTCTGGGTAGTAGCAATGTTTGTACATGTACCCAAATGTATTAAAAATCAATTTAAAGGGGTTACAAAGATACATTTTGTTGTATGTGGATTTTTATCTCAGTTAAAACATACATAAAAAAGAAAGCCGTAGCTACAAGATTCTGTATGAACAACGTAATAAGACAGACTTACTTAATCTGGGGCAATCACAGAAGGCCTGAGGAAGAATGTCTTTATTGTTCCTTTCATGGTCCATCTGGTGACTGTCAGGTATCACCTTGCCTCACATCCGGGGCCTTGAAGACCCCGGAGACCAGGAGAAGATGAGCTGGGTGATGACTCCTGACCAGGACACATTATCTCCCCAGCTGACCAGCAGGCCAGGACGGTGAGGGAGGCGGGAGAAGAGGGACAGGAGACAAGGAAACATCCTTTTCTTCCCTTTGTCTCCAGAGCCAGGTGACAGAGAACAGAAATGGGAAATGTAGATCAAAATGTAATTTTCTCTTACAAGCTGTGGGGAGGCCCAGGGGCTGGGTAGGTAGCCTGCCCTGGGGAGCTGCTCGGTTGGCAATAACTCACCAGCAGCTCTGCACAAAAGTGAGCTTATTAAAGGTCAAAAGGAGCCAGCGGGGGAAGGGCTGATGGAAGCAATAAAGGGCCACCAGAGAGAGGGGGCCACTGGGAAAGACGGGTTCTGATTAAGAACTTGTCCCAAGCGAGGCAAGGCGGGTCATTCATGACAGCAGGTGATGCTCCCAACATCCGCCGGGAGGACAGGGCTGGAAAATGCTGCCTTTGTCTTCCTGGCCCAAGATTTTCCCTGACTCCATTCAAAGATCAATTGTTAATCAATGAAACGCTGGCTTATATAAGAAACCATTATCACTGAGTCAGAAAAACAGCACTGAGAGCTCTCTGACTCTACTCACCAGCCAGTGAGGAGAGCCCTGCTAAACTCTCTAAACTCTCGGTCGGTGGCTGAGAAATGACTGAAGCTTTAGTGCTCAGATGTCATAACTGCAGGTGCCCAGGTCTGACCAATTCATCACATCACCATGATCACCATCACCATCATCATGGTTGTCATCATCATCATCATCATCAGTTTCTTCTGCTAGCTATCAAACACTGGGCACAGCTCACAATCTTATTGAATTCTTTCAACAACCTACACACAGTAGTATTATTCTTCCCACTTTATAGCCAGGAATACTGAGGCTCAGAGAAGCAAAGTCACCTATTCAATAGTCCTCAGCTACGGAAAGGCAGAGGTAGGACACAACACAAATGTATCTAATCCCAAACCCTGGGGCCTCAGCCAGCAGAATGGACTGCTTCTCTCCATAGCCCCACGATTACTGAGCACTTACTATGTTCCTGGTCATAAACATTTTGTTGTGATTAAGGCTAATTTTTTTTTCTTTCAGATCCCCAGTTTTCTTGCCTATCACATGGAGAATTATCACTGATGTTTTACTCTAAAAGCAGGTGTTACCCATCGACCTCCCTTTGGCTATATAATGAATATAGTCTTGGAAAATGTGCACCTCACACACTGTCTTCCCTTTTCCATGCACGCCAGGGCTAGTATGCAGCACAGTTCAGCAAAGACAGGCTCAGAGTTCTGAGCGGAGACCACGACAGATCCTTTGATTCATCACGGATCCTGGAATCAAAACGTGAGGCCTAGGGGCTGGGGAAAGTGGATATAGGAAAACGCAGATGTTAAATAGGCAGAGTTGGACTATGAAGACTCAGACCTGTGCACAGAGGTACAATAATTCCTTGCTAATTGCTGTTTTGTCCCTGAGATGCTGACACTGCATTTTTTACACGTGTGCACCATTTAAAAATATTTTTTCAGACATAAAGTTTTTTTTTTTTTTAATATTAACACACTGATGGCTTCTTTCATAGCCCTCACTTGGGTTGCCAGTAAGGGCTGCCTGCAAAGCCCAACAAGCACCCAGTTCTACAGAGCATGGAGCTGCAGAAGCATTGTTACCTAACAGGAGAAGTAAAGGAGGTGAAGGGGTGGTAGAGAGTTGGGAAACGACTCTGTGTGCACGTATGTGTGTTATCATAGCAGGTTTTTGACATTAGAAAGTTCTAGAACTTTTATTTATTTAGGCTCTATGTAAAGTATATAACTTTGTTGCCATTTTAATGAATCCTTTGTAGCCCAGTAATGTCTATGAGACTTGATCATGCAAATAGTTGCTTTTCAGGGACCACTGATGTTTCTGGTACCAAAATCACATCCCCTCTACTCTCCTCCAACTGTGACCTCATAGACTAGGCATAAGGATGCTATTCTATGTGAAGCATCTTCCTGGAACTTAGACATCTCTGCTTCTCTACCTCTATTCTTTCTTTAAATCTGCAAGAACAATCATCCTCAGGCAGGGAAATCCCACAAAGGTGGGGGTGTTAAAAGCCGCAGGGTAACTGGGGAGCCTAAGCTGTGTACAAATAAATGCCTGAGCATTCCTGCATTGGAGACTTCAGACAGACTTCTGGGAGGCAGGCTGCACACTTCCCAGATGCCCCCGTGGAGTTGATCCCATTGCCTACAACAGAAGCCTGAAAACAATGAATTCCTAATTGGTTTTGCCTCATTTCTTGATTTTATTCTCTCTCTGCTCCTTTGCTTCTGCTTTCCAGGATTGGCTACCAGAACAACCACTGCCCTGCAAGTACTATATCAGTCTGTGCTTTGGGGAAATCTAAATAGACCCCCCCCAACCATGGTAGTTTTAAGGAACATAACTTCCATGGTTGGTGGGTCACTCAGGAGTCAATCAAAGAAGTAGACTCATTAGGTGGAGTAAAATGTACTGGAGGATTTGTCCAAGACATGTGACTTTACACTCAGTTGTGAAGCAGAGCAAGTGGTCTCTGCGAGGCTGCTGTCTTGGTGCCTGATGTTGGAGTTTGAAATCTGCAGGTGGGCAGTCAAGGAGGGAGGGAGACATGAAGTGGGGAGAGCAAGGACAAGGACCCCTAAGAAACCATGCCAGTTCTTGCTGCCTCTGACCTTGATGATGTCAGTCTCCACAAGGAGGAGTTGGTGCCCATTATGATTTAAATCTAAAATATCATCCAAGAGTCTCATGTGTTCAGAGGATGGGCTTTTGGAAGAAGATTGGGCCGTGAAGGTTCTCACTTCTTCCGTGGATTAACTGACTGATGTAATCATAACATGAAGGCATTACCTGGAGGTGATGGAGACAGGAACTCGGGTCTAGCTGAGAGGAGGGGGTTATGGGGTCCTCGCCCCTTTCTCTCTTGCTCTCCCTCTCTGTTTCCCGGCAGCTTTGCTCCATCACACCCTTCTGCTATGATTTTCTGTCTCACCACAGGCCTAAAAGCAATGGATCTGAGTGACCATGCACTGACCCCGTAGAAACCAAGAGCCAAAATAAACTGTTCTCCTTTAAGTTGTTTTTTTTTTTTCAGGTATTTTGTCATAGTAATGAAAAGCTGACTAACATAGCATTTCTCATTATGAGGCCAAACATGTACCTGGTTCAGGAGTTAGAGAAGTTGAAGGAGAATCCATGAGAAATCAGTCCATACCAACATGTATGAACCACAAGCTGTCTTGCCTGGTCTATAGACTGAAAAGTAAGATGTCTGTTACTGCATTTCCATACTCCAAACCTGTCACAGAAGTCCTTCTGATGGCTTTGGGAACATACCGGGAGAAGGATACTGAGGAATGTGATGCAGCCCAGCTGAGTTGAGTATTTTACAAAGCCACCACAGTAAGTGAAGAATTCTGTGCATTATAAAACATCAGACTTACGTAACACATCCCCCCAGGACAAGTTGTACTTGGGAATGTCTTGATTAACATCATTAAAAAGAAAAATTATTTCATTCTCCTCAACCACTGAAGACAGAGCTGTACAGTCAATAAATTTGTGCACTGCAAAATTCCAGGGTGCTCTGTACACATGGCTTTTGATGTGAATGGTGCTGTCCCTTTGAGTTGAGTGATGAGGAAGCCCCATGTATAAAAATGAGCCACAATTACTTACAGGAGTTTTGGTTGGTGATGAGAGGAAAAAGTCTTAGAATAGGTCCTCATCCCATTTGGTGTTGCTTTGGAGGTCAGCCATATCTTGGCCAAAAATCAATGCATCATTGTTAATGGGACTGAACTAAGCAGAGGAGAGAAGCTGGGATTAGAAGGGGACAATAAGGTGAATTTGTCAGAAGTGGGTAGCATGGGAAGGTGAGAGATAAAGACCAAAGAGGCCACCTGAGACAAGTACAAGAAGCACCTGAATTTGAAAGACTAGGTAAGAAGCAGAGCCCAGGGAGCGGTGAGGCAGGTGAGATCTCCCTGAGCTTTTCGCTGGACCCAAGTGAATCAGCTGATTAGAAACAACCTGTCATCAAAACCTTGCAAAATGGTGCTCCAACTACTTCTATTAATTTTAACCGCAACGACTTCTGTTGGGACATTTTAAAGGATTCTAGAAACACTAGCATCAAGAGAGAAAAATAAAACCACATTTGTAACTGGTATACATTGGGTTTTTTTTTTCTTACCCAATACCTGATTCTTTCTTTTCTAGCAACATAATGGATTTTGCTGTTGAATGATGCCCCCAGCCTCAACCTGTGGGCAACCCAACTCCAGATAAGAAAATGAAGGCTCATAGCCAGATGAAATCACTTGAGCACTATCACACGGTATAGTGAAGCTTGAGTTAACCATTCTGTTAATTCACCTCCACGCAGTGATGAGCTGCCAGAGATTGTTGGGTAGGTAGGGTAAGCTTTGGGTGAAATTCCAGCCGAAACAAGAAATCTGCTTTCACCTTTCACCTCCTTTTCTTCTTCAACCAGAATAAACACTTGCATAGCCCAAGCAAGGATAGAGCTGAGCTCATTAAATCACTAATTCTCCGCCTCCTATGCTGGCACTAACATGGCCCCAAAGTCAGCAAATCCTGTTATCTACTTGCTCTGATTTATGCCATGCTGCTATTTATATTTGAAATTTTTCCTTGTAGGATAATAGCATCCCTGAAAAGGCTCTATTGATTTCTCAACTGCAGGTTTATCGGGGCTGAGTCAGCCCAACCTTTACCAACTGGAGCCTCCATTCAGATCTTTATCTCGCTTCTTCTTAGCATGAAAGACCAAGTTTAGTTAAGGCCGCAGGGATGGGTCCTGAGGGTTGCATTCATACTCATAATGACACAAAATTAGAAAGCACTTTAGATTTTAACATTCCCTGTATTCACTGTGCTGCATTATACACAAAGGACTGGATGCAAAACGGAGGTGGATTTGGTACTTTGCATATTCTTGCGGTCTAGCAGCAGCCATATAACTTACAAGAGGGTAAAGCAGACAGGAAATCTAAACTTCGCCCTGATGCTGACATTATGCTGTTATCCTGAAGTGCTTGGCACTGTCAAGTCCATTTTCTAGCCTCAAATAAGGAAAATATCATCTACCTTCCCTACTACATCACATTTATCAATAAACCCCCTAGTTTTACTGGTAGTTGAGAATGGATTTTATTACCCACACATCCTCAAGATTCAGTCTTCACACTGAAGGGAGTCTTACAAATCTTACTTCTTCCTAGAAACTTTCCATCATTTTATATTCATTTATTCACTTAGAAAACATTCATTGAACAGATACTGGAGCCATGAATTATTTCCATCCTCCCTTCTGCTCTCTTCTTAGACAGCCTGTCTGTGCCTTCTGTGCTAGACAATTTGTATGTTCTGTTACGAGCCTACCTAGCCCACCTTTCTGGTTCCACCATCGCTACAGCAAGGCACTCGCTTGCAGTTGTATACCTTGCATCACCTACACCACACCTCTTGCCTTCTGCTCTAGGGTTTGATCCAAGAGCTATTCTGCTGCATTTACAAAAGTAGAAATGTGTGGGAACTAACACTCTTTGGGGCATGACTCTGACCCATAGAGGCTAAGAGTTGAGGGATAAAATCTTCCACTTCCCACTTTCAGAGAGCCATTTCTAAACTATACACAGTTCTCAGAGAGTCTCTTTTGAGCATCAGTCCCAGTTCTGCACATTAATATTAGCTCAATAATACTCCTTTGGCTTGGTTTCCCTGCCTCTATGCCACTTCTCCAATTTCCTCCCTCCTTTTCCTTAGTATCTCTCCCTAACAAAATAACCACATACATATGCGCCTCTCAAGTTTTGCTTAAAAGGGATAATCTGAGCTAAGATGGCCATTGTGTTTGATGGAGACACAGTACTCTCAGTCAATAAAGCGGAAGGTGACTTGATCTCATCTTCCCAACCCCTGGCTCCAGTCGATTGGCCCAGAAGTGAATGATTGACAGGAGCTAAAGCCAATCTGACTTTTCCCCTTCTTAGAAATTCAGAGTTCAGGCACTATTCAATGTCAGAGGTACATTTAGAGCAGAAAGCATTGTAAAATCTGCCCTGGAAAAATTCCTATCTCCAAGGGGCAGAGGAAACCGGTTTGCAAAGAGAAAGAGACAGAAACTGCTGGCCTCCCTGTTGGTGGATTCCAGGTCACTTTCTAACTTTTGGTGGAAACTCCTTATAAATCAAACTCTTCTTGCTCCTCTTGGATTCTCTAAACTGCTTTATCCATCCAGTAAGTTTATTTTGACTGTTTATCCAACACTGAGACAATCTTGTTACACGCAATCCAGTAGTCTTTTTTTATAAAGAGAATAAAACAAAACAAAATAGAACAAAGCAGAGCAGAACAGAGTAAAACAATGCAAATTACACAAGATTTCAGAAAAAGACAGCAGGAAATCAACAGTGGCTACTATAATGTCTCTTGTTTTCTTCAAAATAGCTGTCCATAGCTTCAAACATATTGAAATCAAATAATAGAAGATAGACCAAAACCAAGAATATAAGCACTATTGGATTTCAAGACAAAATGATAGGAAATCATCAGTGGCTACCATGATGTCTTGTTTTCTTCAGTGTAGTTGTTCATACTACTAATAGAAGTAGTAGCAACCCAGTAGTCTTGAAATCAGGGCACTGAGTAAGCTCTGCTTATACAACAATAAATAAGACAGATCCTCTACCTTCAAATAGCTTAGTATCTAAGCTTTGATCAATACAAAAACAGTGCTTCAGTGTCTCACATTTCCTATGTTATCAGAAACCTAATCCTTTTCATCATAAGCTCTGTATGTTTCCCCATTCATAATTACTGATTACTGCATTCATAACAATGCAACCATTTCCTGGGCACAGAACCTTGCACTAATTGCTTTATGTGTGTCAGATCTTTCCACTGAAACAATTCATTTCTTTAATGTTAAGGGTAGAGCAGTAATAAGAGCATTTCAAATTATGATAAATGCTATGAAGGAAATAAATCAGTTAATGGGATAGAAAAAAGCCCAAGTAGACAGAGTATATAGAAACTATTTTATATGAGGAAATAATATAGTTAAGGAGGGCCTCTGTATTTAAACTGAGATCTCAAGAGTGAGAAGAAAATAGACGTATGGAAATACAAAGGAATATTTGAGCTTGTATATCTGACTTATTCCACTTAACATTATGTTTTCAAATTGTAACCATTCATTCATAAATTCTTCAAGTTTATCTTTATGGCACAGTACTGCTCCACTGTGCATAAATATCACATTTTCCTTACCCATTAATCTGTTGAAGAATGTATATGCTATTTTTAAGATCTAGATATTATAAATTGTGCTTCTATAAACATGAGTGTGGATCTAGATATGCCCCTGTAACATGATGATTTTAATCTTTGGGGGAAGATACCTAGAAGGCAGGGCGGGGGGGGGGGACTGGTCAAAGAGAATTTGTATTTTTAGTTTTTTGAGAAATTACCATGCTGATTTCCAGTGGTTATACTAGTTTACATTCCCGCCAGTGACAAAGAGTTCCCTTTTCCCCACATCTTCACCAGCATTTGTTATTATTAGTTTTTTTATGATAGTCTTTGTTTCTCAGGTAAGATGGTATCTCAAAGTAGTTTTAATTTGCATCTCTCTAGTGGCCAATGATGTTGAACATTTTTGTGATCCTCATACTCAGAGAGGTTGGAGTCACTAGACTAGGTGGATGTTGGCACAGTAGAATTTACAGAAGAAGGGGTAAAGGGAGAGAAAGGGAATGAGAGAAAAAAGACAAAGCAAAGTATATTGCACAGGTACAAAATCCCTATGATGTGTGTGATTGCTGCATGTACCTAAGTTGTTTCAATAAACTTAATTAGAAAAAGAACAGGGGGTAGGAAGCAGGAGCAGGTGCTAGAGGGCGTGGTGAGGGGGTTATTTCAGTTAATCAGGTTAGAGCGATGTAACAGTAGGGACAGCGAGAAGATTGGCAGGTCCTGGATGTGCTTTTGAAACAGTTGTCCCAAGGTAGGACTGATGCATAACAAACTGTAAAAAAACTAAAAATGGAATTTGACAAGGTTTAATATATGTGTTCAGTTATGACAATACAACCCAGCTGCATTCTAGGAAAAAAAAGAAAGGTTTTCAATAGGGTTTCCTCCCTTCCTAGTTTCTTTCCTCTTTTTTTTTTTTTTTTCTGTTTTGTTTTGTTTTGTTATACACAAGATACGTTGTGTCAACTTGAGAAGGTTAGAAGTTTAAGAGACTCAGCAGGCAGCCAGGGTCCTTGCTTTGTAGACCTTCTCTGCCTGTGGAAGAGGAGGGTGCTGAGGTGGTGAGTGCTGCACCCGCCCTGGGGTGGCGCAGTCAGGGCGGCCTGCTTACAATACAAGAGAGGAGAAGTCATTGCAGAAGAAGCTGCATCATAGGTCGCCCTGTGTTTCTTGGCTTGAACAACGGCGAAGACAGAGATGCCAATTGCTGAAATAAGGGACACTGAAGGTCAGGACACGAGACCTCACACTCCCAGCACACTGTCTGGAACAGGGTGGGAGCTCAAGGGATGTTTGATGACAAAAAAAAAAAAAAAAAAAAAAAAAGAAAGAAAAGAAAAGAAAAGAAAAATGAGGGCAGGGGAAACAAAATTCAGTTCCGAATGCTGGTAAGCCAATCCTGGGCTTAAATCTCAGCTACATAGATTCTCCCTTTTCCACACACAATTCCCTCTTCCACTCCTGAAGCCAAAGTAGTCATGATCATAAAGTGACTCCTTGTGTACATTTAGAGCAGGATCCTTTGTGCTCAGACAGCCCCTGGTCCTGAGACCAATC